CCTATTTTCATAGCCTGAATATTTTTTCATATTTTTCCTGTAATTCCTTTACTCTTTGCTTCCCCAGCTACATATGGAGTATTTTGTTTACAGTGCAGCCATAGATATAGTCAGCACATATTGTGAGACAGTCTAGGTAATCCAAAATGGGCCTTTTAAAGTGGATTTGTTTGCTGCCTCTACATTAAAAGCACAAAATCCAGAGCTGCTTTTTCTATCATCAGAAGCATTGCTCCAAGGGAACTGCTAGCACTGCCACACTGCCTGCTTCACACTGTGGGGTTTCAGTCAGTAGCACTTTGGGAGTTTCATCCCTCTTGTTCCACCACACAATGTAAGAACGCTGCAAACCTTTGTAGGAAATTGTGAGAGTTGGGAGAACAGAGGTGGGAGGAATCTTCCTTTTATGTCTTCCACTAAAAGGCTTAGTGGGGACTCAAGGCTATCAAACCGTGGTATTTTCTCTGTAGTTTCCTTGGGGAATTTTGGTGTTTTGGCCCAGTCTTAAGTGTCCAGCTAGAAACATTTGAAAATGACAGTCAGATAGAGTACTAACATCTCTGTACAAGGCCTTGATCTGCAGGCACTGTGGAGTTACTTGGGCCAGTCAGAGGGACAGCTTGTGTTTTACTTGTCCTGAGAGCTATAAAACTCAGCGTGCTGGATGGTTAGTCTAGGAGTTCTGTCGTGCACTGTGCTCCTTCCTACACAGTGTTGAATAAAGAGCAATTTCTAAAGGAAGTCCAACTGCAGACTGTATAAAATGCACAAAAACAAGACTTTCATTGAAAGTTAAACCTGATGGACTGTATTATTTCTTGCTGACACAGACAATTTTTTCTTGGCCATATCGGATAGACCCTGTGGAAAGAAATATAAGAATACACACGAGTAATGTCAGAAATGCATCAATGATGTGACAAAAATATTGTTCGATATGGATATTTTGGAGAAAATGATCCCTAAAAATTTTCATTTCCAAGCTGTGCTTTTGCACCAAAATTTTTTTTGTTTCCATTTTCTGGAAAAAAAAATGAGCTAGAAAAAAAATTCAGCAAAATCCTTACATTTAGTAAAAAAATTCAGCCGAAAGAAAGGTGAAGCAAAAACCTTTCTGTTTTTCCAAAAGATAAATTATTTGATACCAAGATTTGATGAGCCCTAGTTATTAGCTAGGTGGATCTCCTGCTGATTTGGCCTGGTGTCAGAGAGCATTAGAGAAAAAGCTGCCTCTCGTAAATTCCTTTAAGACTCTGCATAAGTTTTAAATATAAAACTTAGGAATATTATATATGTCCCTCTGCACAGGACATGGTATCACACCGGGTCATTTAGATCAAGTCACTTCTAGAGTTTGCCCTCCGCTGTCCCCAAGCATTTTGTCCAGGAACAGCGCTGGTCTGTGCGGAAGAAATGATCTCCAGAGGCTCAGTTTTAACTTCAGAAGATCAATCATCCAGCCCTGCCTTGCTGTAAGTGAGTGAACTCACACTGACTCACCAGAGGCTGCTCAGCAAAAGGTCTCACAACAGCACATGCTGCCAGGAAATGCCTGTACTCAGTGATGGTTCACCCAGTGCTGCCCACCTACCTGTGGGATGGAGCTGGGCATGGAGGGTCCCTCCTCTCCCTCTTACTGTCATGTCACTCGTTTCCCATCACAGGGCCTTTCAGTATTACACAGTTCAAGCCGTTTGAGATGTGTAATCGAAGACTGTTTGATCTGAGGAATGTGCCTCTGTGTGTTACAGGAACTTTTGCTTTATGTTTACTGACCCAAATCAATCCTAGCTCGCAAATTGAAAGAGATGGAACCTGAAATCTGGCAAGGTGGTGATTTTTTTGTTTGTTTGTTTGTTTTTGGTTTTTTGCTGGGTTTTTGTTTTTTTTTTCCTTCTGAAGAATCTGTGCTTCACTTGGGTAAAAAGGGCTTGAGTACTGATTTTTAGTCAGTAATTTTAAAATGTGGTTGGTAGAAAAATGCAAAGATTTCAGTGATGAAACCCTGGTCCTTTCCCTTCTGAAAACAAAAGAAGCATAATGCTAGGGCAGCAGTGCCCTGCAAAAGGCAGCGTTCAGAGAGGCTTGTGATGGATGCTGCTCATCTTCCTGAACAAACACAGTCCCCTGAAGCCCCTCCTCCCCGACATATAATTGGTAACAGCTCAGTGCGAGGGGTTACAGGGGGCTTCATCCCTGGGCTGCTCACATCCTTCCCATGCCCTCTCCCTCCATATCCTGAACTCATGGGGGATGTGAAATCCGGACCTTTGTGGCAGCCTCAGTGAAGTCCCCTGAGTTCCCTGCACCTTTGCAGCCTCACATGCTCTCATTTCTGCTTTAAGGTGTGGACATCTATTGACTGATGGTGTTTTCAGCATTCCAAGGGCTATGTTTGCAGGGTTTTGGGGAGATGTGATAAATTACCACTTGTTATTCTTTAGAAATGTGCAGTGCCCTTTTTGGTGGGTACTTGAGCAGATGTCATGAAACCAGGAGCGCTCCAGGCCGTGTTAAGGGAGAGGGTGCTCGGTTAAGGGATGTGTCTGGAGATCATGGTGCTCTGCCAGGCTCTGCTGCTGACTTGTGTGTGGCAAAGCACTTCCCAACTCACGCCTGTCTGCTCACCCACCTCACCCTGCTATCTACTAGAAGCTATTTCAAAGGCAGGAGAAAAGCAGATACTACATACAGTCTAACACCTGGATTTTTATTTGTGTCAGAAAGCTTGGTGCAGGTGCCTTGAAAATGTGGAGTTTTTTTGAACAGCTCCCTCTGCTTCAAAATGTCAAGCAAACCCAAATTAACTCAGAAAGTCATATTAACCACATAAAACATGTACATATGCAGGGGATGTACTCTTCATTATCTGTTCAGCCTTTTTGTCAGCAACATCTGAAAGCAAAATGTGCTGCCAAGTCATGTATTCTAATGACCTGCGGACTTCCCCATTTCCCAGGAAGATGAATTTGGGTGTACGAGCATGGTTTCTAATAAACACACTGACAGCAAAAATGATGGTAAAAGGAAGTGCAACTTACCTTTTTTTTGTTCCAAAGGAAAGTACAGTGACTCATGTGTTAGAAGGAACATGCTAACCCAAGACAGTCAGTGCTCTTTGCAGTGACCACCCAAACCTCTTCCCAGTAAGGGACACTCAATGACAATTAATTACTCTTGCACACACACAGTCTGTGGACTTATACAAGTAGGCATCCACATGTTTGTTCTTATGAAAACATGAATCTATGATATAAAACTATGCTGGAAAGTTAACTTGAAATATGAAATTGGATTTTCAGTGTCAGAGAGAGAAATTACAAAGTTTATTTTTAAGGGCTAAACTCAGTGACCTGATGATGTAATGGAAGAATAGGTAGGTTTGGAGGAAATACGTACTTCTCAGTTAAACTCTTTTTAAGCAATTAATTGGTATTCATACCAGAATAAGATTTTTCACATCTGGAGTAATCTGGGAAGAGCTTTTACCTATAAGTAAGCTTGAAACTGAGGGCATAGAGGCCACAATAGAGTATTATGTGCCCATGGACTTCTGTACATGAAACAGCATGATGAAAATAATGTCACTGGAAGATCTCATAAATCATCCTTCCTCACTTAACTGGAAAATTAGAGTTCTCAGTTCTCTCTGCCCTTCACAGCCTCCCAAGGAATCAGAGTTTGTACAGGCATTATTTTCTCACTGGCACACACAGGTATTTCTCAGATGGCATTGTCCTGATGCCTCTAGGGCCATTGCACTTCTGCCCAAGCACAGAAAGGTAGAAGATGAGCTGTGTTTCACTGCTTAGTTTCCTGGCATTGCTCATGGCTGAAACAAGGACTTGCTGGCTCTGCAAGGGCTGCATGTGCACATCTCTGCTCCTCACTGAGCACCCCTTTGGTCATTAGAATCATAGAATCATTAAGGTTGGAAAAGACCTCTAAGATCAAATGTACAGGGCTAAATGTAGGACAGCTGCCCTTGTTTTAACGTGATCTGTTCTTTTATGAGCTCTGTTCAAAGCAACTCTCCTTGAGGGCATCTGCATCTTACTTCAGGGTGTATGCACCAAGTCCAGGCTTTTCGGCTCATGGGACTGACATCTCTGTTTTCTGTGCACAGGGTGGGAATTTGTGTGTACAACCACAGCAGATGAATAGATTAGGCAGACAGAACCATGGACTTCTTTTCCCTTGGTAGGCCCACAGGGATGGTGAGCAAATGGAAATATCACTGTAAATATTCAAGGAAAAGGAAATAGAGTTAGAACTCTCAGAGCAGAGTTGACTTGACTGTATGTTTTATAAGAGATGTTTCAAGACATAAACAAGGGCTTAATGTATTAATATACATCTTTGGGAAATAATCTGGCTGTACATCATGGGCCAGACCCTTGGCTGACATAACCTGACATGGCTTCAGTGAATTCATTCTCAGTTTTCAACAAGTTAACATCTAACATTTTTAATTATACACATCTCTGGCCAGTATAAACCTCCATGAGCTTAGGATGCCTTGACCTTGTGTGTGCCATTATAATGTGTTCAAGGACTTTTGGACTCTGCAGGTGTCAAAAATGCTCTTTTTGATCATATACCAAAATCAGGAGAATGAAAACCTGCAGCGCCGAATAGGCACAAGGGCAGATTTCATGACTGCATTTGTCTCTGTATTTTAGATCTGTCTGGCACAGCTATACTGGAGTAGATCCAGAGCAAAGAGGCTTTATCAGCTACAGCTCTGGCTACCCCCTTCCTCATCACACCTATGAGGGAAAGGGGGTCTGTGATCAACACGAGACAGCAGTGCTTAAAAAATGCTGATGGCAAGGGTGGTGATGGCAGGGAGATTCACCACTTAAAGCCTATTTGCCTACAGTTCTGCACAGCTTGATTGACTAAAAAAAGCCCAGAGGAGCTCTCTGAACTAAGCAGTGCTTACCTGTCTGTTGCTTGTTGCCTTTCAAGTAATTAAATTATTTCTTTGGTATCATCTAATGATTTTTTTTTGTCTCTGCTTCTTTCAGCTCCAAGGCTCCTTGAAGAGAAAATTGGTGGTAAATCTGTCGCCTGTCAACAAGAGGCCCAATGGTGTTTCAGAGAGCTCTTTCCATGACATTAAGAGGATAAGAGTGGGTGACAGTATCTCAGTGGGACAAGGTGGACAGCATGTTAACAATTGCCAAAGCCAGTCAATGTCAGGAACTATGACTGTTGGGCAAGGATCACAAAGAAAGGCCAGCAGCCTAGCAAACAATACCCATGCTAGTGGGAGTGACATGTTTAATATGACTTTGAAAGAGGTAAAGAAAGAACCAGGAGAAACAATGTCCTGCAGCAAACACTTAGATGGCCAGACATCCCATGAAAACATGTTCCCTAACAGATATGCAGAAGAACCATGGGACCAAATGGATCTTGAGCTTCAGGAACTGTTTAATGAACTGACTAACATATCGGTGCCACCAATGAGTGATATTGAGCTAGAGAATATGATAAATGCCACGATAAAACAAGATGAGCCATTCAACATTGACCTTGGGCAGCAGAACCAGAGGGGCCCTGTGAGATCTCTGCAGATGGATAAGATGGTGATAAAAAGTGAGTATGCAGCAGGCATGAATCAGGCTCCTGTGGGCTCCCCACAGATGAGGCCTTCTTCTACAGGTCCAGCCTTCACTATGGCTACCACTGCCATGTCTGCCTCTTCACCCATCCCCTCGGTGCCTCAAACACAGGTGTCGCAGGTTTCTTCTGCGTCCAGTCGGCCATTGCCTAACTGGCAGGAGGTGTCTCATGCACAGCAGCTCAAACAGATCGCAGCCAATCGGCAGCAGCACGCCTTGATTCAGCAGCAACAGCAGCAGCAGAACCAGACAGCCAACTGGTCCACTCTGTCTCCATCAGGACCTTCCCCTGGACCCTTTGTGCAAGAGAAAATCCCCAGCCCTTCTTTTCGCCAGCAGCAGTTCAGCCCACAAAGCTCAGCAATGCTTGGGGTGCCAGTGAATGGAAACCAGACAAAAGGGATGAACAACTATGTTTATAAACCTACCACTCCCCAGAGCAACCCCATGGACATAATCATGCAACAGAAGCCTCAGGACCTCAACAGAAACTTTATAAACAGTGCTCAGCCACCTCTAGAGCAGCATCATGGCAACACAAAGCCTTTGTTTCACTTAAACTCAGAGCAAACAAACCAGCAGATGCCTTCGGTTTTGGGTTCCCAAAACAAGCCTGCCCTTCTGCACTACACCCAGCAGGCACAGGGTTTAGCTCCCGTGCAGCAGCCACAGCAACAGCAGCAACAACAGCCACAGCCACAAACTGCTCAGCCTCTCCCAAACCAGTCTCTCCAGAGGCCACCTAATGTAACCCTAGCAATGCAGCAAAAAATGATGCTTCAGAAAATGCAGCAAAGCCAGCAAATCTCAGGTTTGCAGTATCCAGTCTCTCAGCAGCACAGACAGGTAAGACAAATTCCTCCTTCTTTCTTACAGAATCGTTCTGGTCCAAGCAATAAAAAGGCTTTTCCAGCCTGGCATCATTCCTGCACGAGATGTGTCCTGGTGGCACTTAATGACCCCCTCAGCATGCACTTCTGCAGAGCTGCTGTTGGCACTTTTAACATCTATTCAGGTGTATCATGGATGTACATTTAGAAGAATTGCAAGAAGCACATGCTTATAATACTTTTCATGCAATAGGAATGAATGTGTTACTGCTATATATTATGTAGATACTTGTCAGAAAGGTGAGATAGTAGGGCAGATGTGTTTTGGACTCCTATCTAAGTTTTCTAGCTTACAAAAATCTAGGCTCTTTTGAAAGTCAAAATTTTAACGAATTCCTATGTTATCTTAGATAATGTGTTTTACAATGTTAATTTTTATGCTATCATTTTTCCCAGGGAGGTAGGGTTAGGAAATTCTGTTTTTAGATATCTTTTGACTGATATGACAAAAAGTACTGTTTGCACATTTGCTATCACTTTGGCAAAGAAAAATTAAGATTTATCTGTGAGCTTTATAAACACCCATCACATTTCTGGGAATATTCTGTGGATAAAATACAGGCTTAGAGATGAAGGAGAAAGTTGTCACAGATAAGTCGACAATTATATTCCATGTGGCCAGCTCCCACTGTGTTATCATGAGACAGTACTCTGACAAGATCTGCTGCCGTAGATTAGTTGTGCTATGCCAAGTCCCTGTGCATCCAGGTCTCAGATGCCAAGTTTCAGACCTGCCAATCAAAGTGAGAATATGCAAACTCGCTGTACCCCAGAGTCCGGAAACCAGGTGCAAAACAAGTAAAACATATTTGGAATGTTTAGGCAACTCTGAGTAGTTTAGGTCGGATTTGATCTCAACATATTTGAAGATATGGAATTGCAGTGTAGGTGTGGAGATCACCTGTAGATGTGAACAACACTATGAGAAGCTACTTAAAAATGAAAGCCTAAGTTTTCCATGGACTCCCAGAAAATAGCACTGTGAACAAATCACTCCGAGCTGGAGTTTCTTCACCAAACTGAGTGAACAGGCTGATGCTTTAAAAAGAGTAAATACAGTTGTATGCCTTTCTCCTTTTAACTCTTTTAAATTTCCTGACCACCTAACAATGACTTACTCCAACAAGTCCCTTAGCAAAAGGTACCAGGTGAAACCTATGGGCAGGTGTGAGAAATTGCTGTGTTGAAAGATGCTGTAGAATGAGCATTTGCAGGATGCAAGCACAGTTTTGCTGTTTTACCAGAGGTGTCTGCAAGCTGCTCCTCTTCTTCTTGGGCCACTGTGTGCTCCCTTCTTAGGTGCACGTCCCCAATCTCTTAATAGACTGGCACACAGACGAATTTTAACAGTTCCTTCATTCAGCCATGATGAACTTTCCAGCAATCTGTCATCACAGGGGAGACAGGCAAGACTTCTGCAAACACTACTGTTTTTCTGAAAAAAATTGCAAGGTCACATTCCGGAATGGCATAAAAATAGGGAAGCAACTCTGCTTGAGGTAATGTTAGCTACTTGCTCTGTGTCCTCCTGGCCTGCTGCTCAGAGAGGCCAGCCAACAAGATGGGACTTAGCACTTTGGCCCTAGTAGTACTTGTAAGATTTACTATGAGTGTAGTGGGATTTCTCACCTGTGCAACCACAAGATCTTTGGTTTAGAAAACTTGTCCTAAGTGAACTTTGCTGAGTGCCAAACGTCAGATATTACACCAAGGAAGGGGTTTTGCCTATCATCACAGACTTCTTTCTGCAAACTAATTTTCCCAAGTTTCTTGTCATCTGACCACTTCCCACAGCTGTTTCTGCAAGATGTGCCTGCCACAGCAGAGTTGAGAAGCTTGGAAGCTTTTGAGACACAGATTACAAGGCTTTTGCACTAAGGATGCTGTTTTTTCTATGCTCTAGAGAGATAACTGGATTTTTTTAGAGGTTCTTAGCAGTTGTTCCAAAGTGCTGATGAAGTTCAGAACATCACTTATGTCTCTCTCAATTAGAGTATTTTGTAGTTGCTGGAACAATACCTAGAAATACAACTGGTCCATAAATTACAGGGTTTTTAAACGGTTTGAACGTGAATGTAACTGTTTATCTGACAGTATTTATGAGTTCTGTGGACCCTTTAGCACCTGCCTGCACTGCTGCAAGAGCCCACCAACCCCTTGGACAGGGCCTTTTTGCCACATAAATCTGGATATTAAATTGGAGGGGGAGGAGACACCACTAGCATTATCTTCCAGTAAAGACAACAAAGGTCAAAGTGACCTTGACTGCTGCTCATTTTAGCAATGGGGACATCACCTCATTTAAGCTGCACAGTCTGCTTTCCTGAAGGATCATCTCCCACCTCTGAGGATTTGTACACATCATTAAAAGTAATGCATGATTAATTACCAGCATTTGCTAATTAACTTCATGATTAATATTTATTTTACTCATGCTCTATTTCTGCATGAGAAATCAAGATTTGGTTCTGCTTGGTATCATTCAACTCCTGAGATCATTATAGGACCATCTCACAACTCGCTGCAATGCTTTGTAGCTGGTAGTGTGAGGGCACATTCATAAAGGACTACTGTGACACTGCCATCAGAAATCACTGACTGGAACACTATAAATTCACATTTTTAGCAGAACTAGCTCACCCTCTGGATTTTTGCTCCCCAAGCCTTAAGATCCACAAAGCCTATCTGAGCTTGGTTTTATCACTCCAAACTGGCTAACTGAAAATGTAAGGCTTATAATTTCTCTGCTTGTCATATTCCCTTTGTGTCAAATCCAAACAAACTTACAGAGGGATTTGCTAATTAGATGTCTTTTGCCTCTAGGGAAAAGTCATAAAAATTATGGAAATCATCTTGGTTTCCTGGAAGGTTAATCTGAATGAAGGGTTTCTTTGCCTCTCTCCTTTATTCTCCATTGTTCTGGGAAAGATTCCTTTCTATTGTCTATCTGAATGCAACATACACATAGTCATGAAAAAACTCATAGAAATTAAACACTCTCTTTGTTTAGGAAATAATTAGAAGCTCCAAACTCTATAGAAGTTTAATCAAGTTTGTGATACTTCTACAGAACCTCAGCTGAAAATCTGTAACTGGGCCTGGGTAGAAGTCTGTCTTCTCCCTTTTGAAGGAGTGTAGTCCAGTCAGTGAGAGATGCTTCTGAAGTAACACTTAAGATTTTTGAACTGACGACTTAATGTTTTTTAAATAGTCCAAGAAATTTCACACACATTTTCAGAGTTTTTGATCAGCCATTATACTTGTTCAATAAGATCTATTAGTTTTCTGTGAGAATTAAAAAAGACAACACCACCAACAACAAAAAAAAACCCTGTATCTACTAAATAAAGTATTATTCATCCCCTTCTGGTTTTGACCTAAAGCCAAATTAAACTCAAGGATTTCAAGTTGAATTTTTCTCCAATTGTTTTTATTCAACTTCATTTGCTCAAGGGAAGGGAGAAAAGAAGGCTGAGCTCATGAGAACAGGAACCCTAACAGAGCAAGGCCACTCCATCTGATACATGTGTCCTATTTAGTCTTGGCTTTGGAGGCAAGGATAACACAAGGGATCGTGAGAGCTTCACCCCCCACTTTACATGAATAACCAGTAGTCCATATTTTTAAGGCTCTGGAAACATCAGTGAAGATACAACCTACAGCAGTGTTTGCTTGTGGAGAACTCGGGGCCTTGTTAGTCCTTGTTCCTTAAAAATTGTTTTGAGGGTGGCATCACCACCTCCTTTTTCACGTCTCTGCTCTCTTTCAATAACCCAAGAATCGTGATTAGTCACAGTTTAAGGGGTGGTGCTGGTATTTGCCCTTACTTGTCCTAACTGGAGCACGCCTTAAATAATTTTCTTTACCAGATCTTAACAGGCTCCTTTTAAGTCCAGCCAGTCTTCCTTCCTGCTGAATACTGAGCAGTCCCTTCTCCAGTACCAGCTCCTAGCCTGTTTCCCTGTAGGGCCAGTGATCAGCACTGCACCAAGGGATGTGCCACTGCAGAGGAGCTCCGGGTGCTGATGTGACCCCACACAAACCCATTCCATTCCTCCCTTGCAAACCATTCCATTACACCAGACCTTCCAATGCCCAGAACTTAATAAAAATCCATCATCTGAAATATCTCCAAGGGACAGAGATAGTATTTCAGCTAACCTGGCAGCTCTGCAGAGATCCTGAAACAGATTCTCCTCTCATTTTCTCCAGTGTAAACCCAGGAAAATTTCATTTATTTTCAGGAGAGTGTAAGTGGACTCAGAGCAGCAGAGTAAGAAGCAGGATATGACCTTCTACCTGTTTTTTGTTTTTTTTTTAAATCATGGGCACCATGTGGATTCAATAAAAAATATATGTTAAACTCTCAGATAGTTAGGGTGCTATGTGAGGAAGAAGCATCAGGACCAAAAGAACTAATGTCTTTTTTGAAAGTGTAGATATAAAAAAAACTCTTATTACCATTCAATGCTGAATAGTAACTTACATTTCTAATTTAGCTCCTGAAATTTCTCAGAGAAAATGTGTCTTCTTTATCAAAAGAGTATTTTCTTAAACCTCTGTGTTTACCATTATGGAGGAAAAGAAGAACATATTTTGGTGAGGCAGCCTCTCTCTTTTCAAGTGTAAAGGAAGTATTTTCTTAACATTTGTGAAATGAAGATAGAAACCCTAGAGTAGCTTTTGGTAATTGGTACAAACCAGGACTTGAATCTGACTTAGATCATAAATAACATCGATTCCAGGCTTTTGGAATCTGTAATAATAGAAACTGTTCCATAGTGTAAGAAAATAACAATGTGACCTTTCTCTCAATGCTCTCTATAAAAATAATATTTGGATGACAGCTTTTCTTGATAGCTCCATTTTGGTCACATTCCCTTATACAAGGACTCCTGAATTAAATATTCTGGATAAAAACTTGAGTATGTCCCAATAACCACCATCAGTCACAGG